CATTGCTTACCGAGAGGGTTTTTGATAACTTAATCTGGGGGGAGAACTGCTTTCTCAGATACCTTGACTCCCAAGAAGAGAGTCCTTGTGCACAGAACTGGTAGGAGCCTCCATCCGCTGGTGTTTACCTTTGGATGTAGGGTGCAAGTTTCATGACAGAATAATTAAGATAATCAAATTGTCCTAATTCTGGTGCGATTCATGGATGTACTGGTAAATTTAGGCAAAGTGAAACTTATCAGTGTAGTTTCTGTTCTTTAAAATAAATTGGAAATTAGAGACTAAGCACAATTAGTCTATAAATGTTCTATAAATCAAAAACTTACCTCTTGCACTATCATGCCTTGAAATTTACTTTTTCAAAGGGAAACAAGTTTAGCAGCAGCCTTCAAAGAACTTCTTTCTATGATGAGCCAAATTCATCTTTGCCAGAAAAGAAATTTTGTTAATTCTAAGAAGCCTGATTGGAACAAATCAGATATACCTTCTCTTGTCTGCATGAATTTGTGAGATCAAAAAAGAGGGCTTTCAACTTTTTTCTACTAGCCTGATATGTATTATCACTTAAAATGGTTGCCTTTAAAAAAAAAAAAGTAGAGATACTAACTACCAGTAAGTAATCATCAAAATAAATATGTCATAAAATAAATTAATTATTTTTTTCTTGGTGGATTACAGTGACTGCTGTGTTGCACTAGCACATTTATGGTCTCTGTTCTGGAATCTTAAAGGACACACAGCTGTGGATAACAGAGGGAGTTATGTACCAGACCTGAGTTTTATAATGAACAGATTCCAGACACGGTAGGTTTAGCTGAGTTCATACAGAAGGGATATAACTCATTTAGATCTTCTGACAAATCCTAGTGTTAGTTTTATTTGTGGAGGAAAGACATTTAATAATAAACTGTTTGGGAATATTGGTGAATAAAGATTCATTTTCAAGCTGAATAACCATACTTATTTTAAGTTGCCATTTGGGGAATAATCACAGTATGTGTAGAGACTCTCTTGGGATGCACTTAAATTTTTATTTAATGACTACTTGTTTTCTAGTTTTGCCCACAATGTGTGAAACCACTAAGACACTCAGGAGCATGTCGGCTTCTGGTTTGGAAATGGCAAGACCCGCCATTTATGACAAGGACGGCCACAAGGTTAATACTTGGAGTTTAACTGCCTTTCCTTTGAACTAGTTAAAACCTGTAAGAATAAAGAAGTTGTTGGAGAGGCTTAAAATCTGGGTTCTGAAAAAGTAGTTTCGGTTTATAGGATAGACATTTACTCAGCTCCAGTTCCAGTGCTAAATTAGACGATATGATACAGACCAAAAGTGAAACGCTACAACTGCCATTCCTTGGATAGCCGCTCTGTGGGCGTCTGTATGTTAACTACTCTCCTGGTTTTGTTGGCCTTACACCACTGCCATTTGATTTAAAGTGCTGCAGACCACTGTCTCTGCAAATGTGTTCCAGTTGTGATCAGCTACCTACCCACTCAGCAGCTTCAGCACCAGCGTGAGTTTATTTTTTGAGTGCCATTGCCATCTCCTTGGTTCAGGTTTTGACATTCAGGAAAATATTTTTATTTTGATGCCATACTGAAACCTACAATGTATATCTGACAAAGCGGTTAAATGTGACAATAAAAACTTACTTAATCACGGTACCGTTGTTTTCATGTCTGTCTCGGCACCGGATGAGGCCTTGCCCCAGTGTACTCATCCTGGCAATTCATAATGAACTTGGAAGAGCTTTTTAAAGGGTATCAAAACTCACCTCATACAAAGCTTTTGTCAGGCTGGTTTCAGGAGAAATCCAGGAACACCACTTGCTCAAATGTTCTGTTTTTTTTCAGAAGTTTCAGTTTCCAAAACGTTTCTGTTGATTTCAGGTTACCTACAAGACTAAGTATCAATTGAGTATAAAACCGAGTCTTGGAAAGGGCCCTAAAAGGCATCTTCCACAGAAGAACAGATCTTGTTTAAAGTGATTCCTCAGCCTGGATCCCCTAACAATGGAGATACTGTAGAACTTGTTACCCAAGAGTGTCTTAGGAATTGTGGGGTCACTTTAGAAGGAGGGTCGGCTGGCTAACACATGTATTCTGGATTCTAAGGGTGCCATTCCGATTGAGTGATGTGTATCTCTTCCGAAATGCAAGGGGAGAGTGTTTCCAGCAGGGTTTTAACGTGCGAATTACAGCGTTTTAGGATTCTACTCAACACCTCCAAGAATTTGGAGAAAAGGAGACTGGATTCTTTCACTTCAAAGTCTGGAAATGCCCAATTACGTATTGTAGTTGCTTTTTCTGGAGTCAAATTAAAACAGAAATCTCATCCCCAAATATTCAGGATATGTATTTTTTAATTGCAGACACAGTGGGGCATTGACCATAACTGCTTTAACAAAAATATTTAAATTGTCTTGTAAGTCTGTGTTTTAAGGAGATAAAAAGAATCTGAGATGATGTGAAATAAAAATATAGTGGAAATAACTCATGGTTATTAACTGTGTTCTGGGTCTGACTTACGTGGTTGTAGGTTTCATTTCAGTTACTGAAAGATCTTTCTTTTTTCAATAGGATCTGCTTCGTCCTTTCCCATAGCAAACTTGAATTCTGCCAGACAGGCAGGAAACCTGAAGGCAAATGGATTTGTAAATGTGGTGCTAATAAATAATGAAAAATGTTTACTTATCAACTTTATGACACACAGATTTTGGAAAAATCTAGGATGTAGCTTAGCTGTCTTCCTTTTATACAGTGATTTTTGTAATGTCCTAAATAAGGTGAGTCAGGACATACAGTACCTCCAAACTGGGTTACTCTGGGGTTCTTCTGATCCCTAGAGATGGGGGGAGGAGTACCTTCTAGCAGTGAGGCTTTGTAACATCTGCAAGCAAATGTCCCTCTGGATGCCAGATGTGACATGTGGTCCAGAATGTAGTGCTTAACAAAAGAAAGCTCATTGCAGTATATTTGTAATAGCAAAAACCAGGAAGTGACATGAATGCTAATGTAGGGGAATGGTTAAATTTTGATACACTCCAGAAGAAATAGTCTTTGCAGCCATTAACAATATTGAGGTAGAAATCAAAAAGATGGGTGGGCACAATGACTCAGACCTGTAATCCCAGCACTTTGGGAGGCTGAGGTGGGCAGATCCCTTGAGCTCAGGAGTTCAAGACCAGCCTGGGCAACATGGTGAAACCCCATTTCTACTAAAAATACAAAAAGTAGCCTGGCGTGGTGTCGAATGCCCATAATCCCAGCTACTGGGGAGGCTGAGGCACGAGAATCACTTGAACCCTGTAGGTGGTAGTGGCAGTAGCTGGAATCTTGACACTGCACTCCAGCATCTTTAGGCTTCAATCGAATAACAAAAAAAAAAAAAGATTTCTTGGCCGGGTGTGGTGGCTCGTGCTTGTAATCCCAACACTTTGGGAAGCCGATGTGGGCAGATCACAAGGTCAGGAGTTCGAGACTAGCCTGTCCAATTTCTTTCTACTAAAAAATACAAAAGTTACCCTGGCATAGTAGCACACGCCTGTAGTCCCAGCTACTAGGGAGGCTAAGGCAGGAGAATCACTTGAACCTGGGAGGCAGAAGTTAATGGTGAGCTGAGATCATGCCATTCCACTCCAGCCTGGGCGACAGAGTGAGACTCTGTCTCAAAAAAAAAAAAAAAAAAAAAATTCTTGACATGGAAGACACCAAATAAACCCAGGTTTCCAAACGGTATGTTTGATCTGATTTTTGTGGGGAAAAACTAGTATTGTTCTTGATAGAAAACAATCTGGAAGGATATTCACCTAAGTGTTTACAATGTTGTCCCAAGATGTGGCAAGATGGATGATTTTTTTCTCTTTCACTTGTTTGCATTTTATCACTTTTCTGCAGTTAGTGTTTATATAACAAAAGACTTCAGAAATGGTGGTCACTGATTACATGAGTTATTTCATGCACACCACCTTAAAGGCGATGCTGGAAACATTCTTGATTCTCTGGGTTTCTTCCCCACGCTTGAATTTTTCAGCTCTGTGGCCAGCATGAGATCAGCCTTGGTGGGGCTGCTGTCTTCCCTGCAGTCAACCTTTATCTCATTTCCAGATAAAAATCGCATTTTGTTTTGCCTTGACACTGATCTTTTTTTTCCTAATAAATCTGGAGCCTGTTCAACTTTACTTAGTTCAGAACCCATTTCCTAAATTTCCGAGAAACACTTAAGAAATAACTTCAGAGATTGAAGGTAATTCAAAACTGGAGCAATTCTTTATATTTTTCTTAAGGCAAATGTGTCTACTGCAACATGGATGTTTTGAGTCTTAAAATGTAAGGTGGATCTCCTTGGTTTTGCAGATACTCTCTTTGCAAGATTCTTTCTTTTTTTTTTTTTTTTTCTGAGACACTGCACTCCAGCTCTGTCGCTTAGGCTGGAGTGCAGTGGCACAATCTTGGCTCACTGCAACCTTTACCTCATGGGTTCAAGCGATTCTCCTGCCTCAGCCTCTCGAGTAGCTGGTATTGCAGGCGTGTGCCACCACAGTCAGATAACTTTTGTATTTTTAGTAGAGACCATGTTTTACCGTGTTGGCCAGGCTGGTCTTGAACTCCTGACCTCAGGTGATCTGCCTGCCTCGGTCTCCCAAAGTGCTGGGATTACAGGCGTGAGCCACCACAGCCAGCCTGTTTGAAAGATTTTTGTGTCATGCTTACAGGAAAGGCTGGACAATGCCTTTCCTGCCAGGTTTTCCCTTAGGTTGTATTAAGTATTAGGAGATGTAGACCCTTGTTAGTCCAGTTCACATACAAACAAGTCTGGGAGGTGTTTTATTGCAAAGTAAATCTGTACAAATTTGGGACATTTGTTGTGGCCAACCAGTTGTGGGTTCTGCTTGGTAGAGATGGAGCCATTCGGTCTCAACTGATGTGAAGCATGATTTATCTGTACTAGAATGTGTATCATCCAAAAGATCTTGTCCAGAGCCAGACGAGGTGGGTCACGCCTGTAATCCCAGCACTTTGGGAGGCTGAGGCAGGTGGATTACCTGAGGTCAGAAGTTCAAGACCAGTCTGGCCAACACGGTGAAACCTTGTCTCTACTAAAATTACAAAAAATTAGCTTGGCATGGTGGCGGACACCAGTAATCCCAGCTACTCGGGAGGCTGAGGCAGGAGAATCGCTTGAGTCCAGGAGGTGGAGGTTGCAGTGAGCTGAGATTGCGCCACTGCACTCCAGCCTGGAAGTAAAAAAAAAGGATAGGATTGTGACAGATTGAGATGAACTCTTTAAGGGTTGTGTAAAATGCATCTCCTAACTTCCTATCTTACATGTGTGCCAGGAATCTACGCTATGCTTATTATTTCCAGAGAGCCGTTACTTAACAGTTCCCGAGTTACACTCACATAGACATAACTTGAAACTATGGACAAAGTCTTTTTTGTTTGTTTGTTTTTGTTTTTGAGACAGAGTGAGGCGAGATCGCACCACTACACACCAGCCTGGTGACAGGGCAAGACTCCGTCTCAAAAAAAAAAAAAAAATTGTAAAAATGGGGTCTCACTTTGTTGCCCAGGCTGCCCTCAAACTCCTGACCTCAAGCGAAGTTCTCGTGTTACAGGTGTGAGCCACTGCACCCGGCCTACGTTTTAAATTTCATTCAATTTTAATTCATTCAAATCTAGATTTAAGAAGCTGCATGCCGCCGGGCGCGGTGGCTCACGCCTGTAATCCCAGCACTTTGGGAGGCCGAGGCGGGTGGATCACGAGGTCAAGAGATCGAGACCATCCTGGTCAACATGGTGAAACCCCGTCTCTACTTAAAATACAAAAAATTAGCTGGGCATGGTGGCGCGTGCCTGTAATCCCAGCTGCTCAGGAGGCTGAGGCAGGAGAATTGCCTGAACCCAGGAGGCGGAGGTTGCGGTGAGCCGAGATTGCGCCATTGCACTCCAGCCTGGGTAACAAGAGCGAAACTCCGACTCAAAAAAAAAAAAAAGAAGCTGCATGCCATGTGGCTAGTAGTTACCATATTGGACGACATAGGATGCTGACCCCTCATTTCACAAAGAGAGAATAACCGAGGCAAGAGTAGCATGGTGATGGGCCCAAGGTCACAGAGCCACTGAAAGACCCAGAGCCCAGGCCTCCTGCCTCCTCTTACAGCTGTGTCTGCTCCAGACCATGACGGGCTTGGAGAATGTCAGCTCAGGAAGGACAGCAGAGATCCTCTCCGGCAACATTCGTCCCAGATTGAAATAAACAAAGAACAGGCTGGAGCATTTGCTCTGAGCCCCCACGGGGCTTGGCATCCTGCTCAGGAAGCATGGCTGTCCTTAGCCCAGCCCGGGACGTTCTTCATAGTGTCCTGGCACCTTGGATGCAGGCTGGCCAGAGTGGGAAGGGTAAGGGGACTTGCCTGGGGCAGCTGCAATCTCTGTGGCCCTTGTCCTGGTAAGCACCCTCCTCCCCCTGCTCAGGCTGTGACAGGGAAGGCTGTATCCAGCAGAAGTCAACCTCATTTCTGCAGCTCATCCACACCTTCCACCTGCTCAGTCCTTGGCCTGCCTGCTCATGGGTACCCAGGTGGAGGATCAAATTAATCCCCTTTTTCATCCGGAGGCTGGCATTCAAATCTCCACCCACCCAGGGAGAGTGGGCACAGAGTTACGGGCGAGGCTCAGTGACATCCAAGCCCTCAGGAGAAGGGGGATGGCAAGAGAGAGCCCTGGCACCTTGCTGTAGCCATCTGCTCCTGACCCGGCCTGAGTGCGCTGTGCCTGAGCAGACGCTGGGAGAGGGTGCTCCAGGCACCGGGAGACCAGGTGGGACCCATTGCAGCCCCATTTTCTTAGCACCTTCTCTCTCCCCTTCACTCTTTCTCTTTTCTGTTCTCCATCTCTCCCTCTCTCACCACCCCTTCCCTTCCCTTCTCTTTTGTTCCAGTAGGTTTTTATCAAGGTGTAACATATATACAAAAAAGGACACAAACTATACATGTATTTCTTGTCAGATTTTCACAAAGTGAACATATCTATGTAACAGGCACGAACATTAAGAAACAGAACATTTGGCCAGGCATGGTGGCTCACGTCTGTAAGCCCAACACTTTGGGAGTTTGAGGTGGGTGGGTCACCTGAGGTCATGGGTTCAAGGCCAGCCTGACCAACATGGCAAAACCCCGTCTCCACTAAAAATACAAAAATTAGCTGGGTGTAGTGGTGCATGCCTGTAATCCCAGTGACTTGGGAGGCTGAAGCATGAGAATCACTTGAACCTGGGAGGCAGAGGCTGCAGTGAGTTGAGATCTCACCCTTGTACTCCAGCCTGGGAGACAGAGAGTGACTCCATCTCAAAAAAAAAAAAAAAAAAATTAGCTGGGCATGGTGGTGGGTGCCTGTAATCCCAGCTACTCGGGAGGTTGAGACAGAAGAATCACTTGAACCTGAACCTGGGAGGCAGAGGTTGCGGTGAGCTGAGATGGCACCACTGCACTCCAGCCTGGGCGACAGAATGAGACTCTCAAAAAACAAAGAACAAACATAAAAACAGAACATGCCTGTGGCTTACATGCCCCTTCATGTCCCCCTTGGTCGTTACCCCTCACTCCGTGATCCTCTCTCAACAGAAATTGATTTTGTCTGGTTGTAGACATCCCTGCTTCTTTTACCCGACATGATGCTTGCATGATTGATTCAGGTTATTGAGTACCTAATGGCCAACTGTTGATGGACATTTGAGACTTTTGAAAGGAGGGTGCCAATGCTGCCGGTGTGAACATTCTCGTTGTGTGTTTTGGGAAACAGATGTCAGGTGTCTGCATTTATTTGGGGTCTATGGATAGCTAAGGGAGAACTGCTGGTGAGAAAGGCTGCAAATATTCAGCGTTAGTAGATACAGTCGACAGTTTCTCAAAGTTGTCCTGCCAGTTCACACTCCCACAGCAAAGAGTGGGCCTTCCAGGAACTCCATCTTCAACCACATCGGTATTGTCAGTGTGAATCGTGTAGGCCATTCTGCCTAGCGTGTAGACGCTGCGATTTGCAGTTGCATTGCCCCGGAAGCTGAGGAGCCTGTTTGGTCCTGCACTTGTTTTTCTGCCATGCTGTCTGTTTTTTCTTATAGATATTCCAGATATGAGGTTTAAAATATACATGCATGTCAATGTATATGTGTGTGTGTGTGCATGTATGTATATATACACACATATATACAAACTATCTTCTTTCTCCCATTTAATAGCTTGTCTTTTTACTGTTTTTTTGGGTGGAGGGAACAGAGGGTCTTCCTCTGTCACCCAGGCTAGAGTGCAGCGGCACAATCATAGCTTACTGCAGCCTCCACTTCCCAGGCTCAAGTGATTCTCTCACGCAGCTAGGACTGCAGGTGCACACCAGCACTCCCGGCTGATTTTTTTTTTTCAGTAGAGGCAAGGTTATGCCATTGGTCTCAGACTCCTGGACTCAAGCAATCCTTCTACCTCCACCTCCTGAAGTGTTGAAATTACATGTGTGAGCCACCTCACCAGGCCATTTTACTCTCTCAAAAATGATTTTTGCTGAACAGAAATTCATAATTACAATCTAGTCTAATTTACCAATTGTTTTCCTTTATGGCTCTTTTAGTATCTTGTTTAATAAATTTTTACCTAGGCCGGGCGCGGTGGCTCAAGCCTGTAATCCCAGCACTTTGGGAGGCCGAGGTGGGTGGATCACGAGGTCAAGAGATCAAGACCATCCTGGTCAACATGGTGAAACCCCGTCTCTACTAAAAATACAAAAAATTAGCTGGGCATGGTGGTGTGTGCCTGTAATCCCAGCTACTCAGGAGGCTGAGACAGGAGAATTGCCTGAACCCAGGAGGCGGAGGTTGCGGTGAGCCGAGATTGCGCCATTGCACTCCAGCCTGGGTAACATGAGTGAAACTCCGTCTCAAAAAATAAATAAATAAATAAATAAATTTTTACCTACCCAAGGCCATGAAACTTTGAGTTTGTTTTGGGTGGTTTTTTTTAAGAAGCTTTATTGTTTTAACTTTTCACATTTTAACTTTTGTATATGGTATGAAGGAATAGTTATATTTTTTGTATATTTTGTAATCTAAAGGCCAACATTTACTTTTTCCCTATGAATATTCAGACAGTCTGGGCAACATGGGGAAACCCCATCCCTACAAATACAAAAACCTTAGCCAGGCATGGTGCATGCACCTGTAGTCCCAGCTACTTGGGAGCAGGAGGTGGGAGGAATGCTTGAGCCCAGGAGGCCAACGCTGCGGTGTGCTCTGATTGTGCCTGTAAATAGCCACAGCACTCCAGCCTAGGCGACAGAGTGAGACCCTCTCTCTCAAAAAAAAAAGAATGTCTAGATGATTCAGCCCCAGTTGTTAAAAATTATCCTTTCCTACTGCCCTGAATTATTATGTTTGTCATAAATCAGACACAGATCTGTTTCTGAGCTTGCTTGCTTTCCTTCTTTCTTTCTTTTTCTTTCCTTCCTTCTTTCTTCTTTCTTTCTTTCCTCCCTCCCTCCCTCTCCTCCCTCCCTCCCCCTCCTTCCTCCCTCTCCCTCCTTCCCTCCCCTCCCTCCTTCTTTCCTTCTTTCCTCCCTCCCCACTACTTCTTCCCCTCCCTCCCTCCCTCCAGCCTGCCCGCCCTCCCTCCCTCCCACTCTCTCTCTCTCTCTTTCTTTCTTTTCCTTTCTTTTCTTTTCTTGACAGAGTCCCATTCTATCCCCCAGGCCGGAGTGCAGTGGCCCAACCTTGGCTCACTGCAACCTCCACCTCCTGGGTTCAGGCAATTCTCATGCCTCAGCCTCTCGAGTAGCTGGGATTACAAGCGCCCATCACCATGCCCGGCTAATTTTTGTATTTTTAGTAGAGATGGGGTTTCGCCATGTTGGCCAGGCTGGTCTCAAACTGCTGACCTCAAGTAATCTGCCTGCCTTGGCCCCACGAAGTGCTGGGATTACAGGTGTGAGCCACTGCACCTGGTCTGAGCTCTCTTTTGTTCTAGAGGTCTCTTTATCTTAATGTAGGCTA